TATATATATATATATATATCAATCATAAATTCATTCATTAAATTTAAACTGTACTAATTTCACAGTTTTTTTTAGAAAAGAGAGAGATAGGCCCTATAATAGATGCAAATTCATTTTTTTTAACTTTATAAAATAAATAATAAAATTACACTTAAATGATTTATAATTACACTTACGATCATATCTTAAGATTATATAGCCTTTGTAAATAAAAATAATTGTATATGATACATCAATTCATAACTAAATTTATTATGTTATAATTTAAATTAATAAAAATAAATTTATTAAAAATATATAAAATTTGAAACATATATATTTGGGAGCACTATCACCTAACACAATATTTTAAAACTAAAAAACTTTCTATTTCACCCGTGTAGCACTTGACAAAGTGCTTCAGCTTAGAATTTCTTAATTGTTTGTTGCTAAAATGTTACTGTACACCACCAATGATGCAAATAGACAGGGGAATAAAGAGTACTTCTAGCATGAAGTACTTTATTATATGTCTCATCCATATACCATTAAACTAACCTATTATTGCCGACTAAAACTACAAGAAAAAAATAAAAATCACCTCCTTCGACCGCCACGCTGCCATGGTCCTCGCCACCTAACTAGGACAGCACCACCCCGCAGAAACTCCACTCGGTCATTGTCACCACTGGTTCACTTGTGCCGCTGACAAGGTAATCGCTGCCACCGACGTCGCGCATGGCCATGGGCGGTGAGGACATCGATGCACGCGAACTACGGCGGAGGACAATGGCGCGGTTCTTAGAGGATCTTGGATTTGCGAGCCTTGAGGCGAGAGAAGCGATCGATGCCGCCACCGGCACCGGCCCCATCCACCCCTCCTACATCGCCGCCACTAGCGTCGCGCAAGGCAACGGGCGGCAAGGACGTCGACAGGTGCAAGCTACGACGGAGGACGGTGGCGCGGTTCTTAGAGGATCTCGGATCTACGAGCCTTGAGGAGAGAGAAGCGATCATCGCCGCCACCGGCACCAGCCCCATCCACCCCTCCTAC